AGAGTTTGTTTTATATATTTTGGAGTTCTTTCATTGGGAGCATAGATATTTATTATGGTTATTTCATCTTGTTTATTGTCCCTTTAATCATGAGATAATGTCCATTTTTATCTATTATGCTGTTTTGTGTCTTAAAGTTTATTTCATCAAAGGTTAGTACTGCCACTCCTGTTCGCTTTTTATTGCATTTAGCTTGGCAGATTTTTTTCCATCTTTTGACTTTTAATCTGTTTTTGTCTCTGTGTGTGAGATGTGTCTCTTGCAGAAAGCATATTGAAGGATCTTGTTTTCTTATCCATTCTGCCACCCTCAGTCTCTTAACAGGTGCATTTAATCCATTGACATTCAGTTTAATTATTGATAGGTATTGATTCATTGCTGCCACTATGTTTGTGTGTGTGTGTGTGTGTGGTGTTGCTGCTGCTTCTTTGTTCTGTTTACCTTCCTTTGTTGAGTTCATGATTTTGGTGTTCTGTTTTGTGAGTTTCCTCATAGTTTTAATGTTTTCATGTTCTTCTTGGATTTTTGTTCTCTTGGTATGCTGTGAAGTGTTAATATTCTTTGAGGTTGCCTCATAGTCCATTAACGTTTCTGCCCATTTAGTGCAATCTACTTTATCCTGTGATCGACCTGACCTTCTAACTATCTGGATCTCTGTTCCTTCGTGTTTACCTTCTTTTACATTGTACTTATTTTAATCATAGACTGATCTCCCAGATTCTCTGAGTTTGTTCTTATAATTTTGTTTTGTTAACAACTCTTCTTTCGGTTGACTTAATTCAGCGAGGTGCTGCCATGTATGTCAATCTCTGGTTGCTGTCTGTTCTTGTTGGTTCTCAGTCCACAGAACTCCCTTTAGAATGTTTTGTAGTGCAGGGTTGGCTTTGGTAAAATCCCTTAGCTTCTGTTTATCCTGGAATGTTTTGATTACACCATCATATTTGATTGATAGCTTTGCTGGATAAAGGATTCTTGGTTGGCAATTTTTTTCTTTCAGGATTTTATATATGTCTCCCCATTGCCTTCTTGCTTGCATGGTTCCTGCTAAGAGATCCG